TTTCTAAAGTTTTTTTAACTTCTGCGTTTAAAGTATTCGAAATCGTAGGTTCCGAGGCCTTTTTCGAATTAGAATGCATATCATCCGATTCAAAAACTTTTTCAAATTTTTTATCGTCTAAAATTCCCTTATTTTCTTTTATTTCTAATTCGTTTTTATTCGTGTTAACATTCTGAAATTTAAATCGGTTAATTAACGCATAATTATCCATTAAATTTTTTTTTAAAAATTAAATTATTAAAATTTTTATGCTCAACGGCAAAAAACTTACATCGAAACATTTTGAAACAAAAAACATGATTTCTTTTTTCGTATACTTTTCATTTTCGTTAAAATTTTCCGATAATTTTAAAATAGATTGCGATATTGCATTCTTCCATTCGGATTTCAAATTTTCTTTTTCTTTCTAAAAAAAAAATTTTAATAATTTTTATTTTAAAAAATAAAAGAAAAAACTCTATTTCGAGTCGAATTAAATAAAAAATTATTTTGACCTCGTATTTCGTAATGAAAAATTTTTTTTCGTCTTCTAATTTTTCTTGCGATTTTTTATAACTCGATAATTTTTCTTTAAGCTCCGATTCATCCGCTAAAATCCTACTGTTTAAATCTTTTACAATTTTTTCGTATTCTATATTATTGGTAGTTAAATCTAAAATTTTGTTTTCAAAGGTTTCAATGTTTTCACTTTGAGTTCGAATCACAGTTTTTAATTCTTCCTTTTCCCTCACGGCTTCCTTTAATTTTTCTTTTAATTTTGTCACAATTTCCGATGCCTTTGCCATTGTTTCATCATAATTTTCTCTGTCTAATTTTGCACTCTTCTTGTCTTCAACCTCCTTCTTTAACTTGTTTAATTGATTTACAAGTTCCGCGGATGTTTCTTCCAGTTTTTTTTTGATTTCTTCCGAATTTTGCAATTGACGCTCCAAAATTTTAATTTTTTCCGTTGATTTTTTATTATCTTCTTCCAGAATCAATTCTTTTTTTAAAACGGATTCCATTTCTTGTCTTAATTTCGATTCCGTTTCTGACTGCTTTTCAAATGTGAATGAATTTTTTTCCAAACACCTGAAAATTTATCCTAATGCTAGTCAAAATATTGCCTTTTATTATTCAATCTAGTTTCTAGGAATGCTTTCTCATACGTTTGATTTAATTCTAAAAGATGGAAAATTTTATCGTTTTGCAACTCGAGTTTGTTTTTTTGTTCTTCGACTTTGGCTTCCAAACTTTCATTCTTCGTAACTAAATTTTGTATGCTTGTCAATAATCCGTGTGAGTCGACGAAAGACGAAGGTTGTAATTGAACACTAGTATTTGGCAATTGTAAATTTTGAATCTAAAAAATTAATATTTATTATTATTATAGGTATCTCAATTTTATTTTAATCATTTTTTATTTACCTTATTTAAAACTTGATCCACTTTCTCAGATATTTTTGATATGCCCATTCTAAGCTCTGTTGCTTGTATTCTCGATTCTGACAAATAAACCGAAAAACTCGGGTCTCCTGTAGGAGATAAAACGGGGCTTTGAAAGACAGGAGTCAATTGTTGAGATACGCTACTTTTCTAAAAATCATATTAAAATAATTTGATTATTTACCATCTCTTTAAAATGTAATATTTAATTTTGTAAAAATAAATAAATACATATATAATAATATTACTTCATTTTTAAAATGATTTTAACTTTTGAATTTAATAGTATTACGATAAAAGAAAATTACTTACCTTGGAATGTTGTAAAGGAAATTCGTTTTGATAAATTGAAAGTTGTTTTACTCCTTCGGTATTTTCTTGATAGTAATGATGATGATGAGAAACATTCGAATTTGACAGTTTGTTTCTAGGACTTTTTGATTTGACTGTTGCTGTCACTGGAATTTCTTCCTTCGAAAATAATTATAACAATTTAATTAAATGCAAATCCCAAAGAAAAATGCATACAATTAAAATGTTTTGAATTTTCAAATATGCATTTTCTATAAATATGATAACAAACTTACTTCTGAATCACTTGGACCAGTTGATGTTTTTAATGGTAAAGTAGCTTGTCCCATCCTTGCCATTCTTGATATTAAATTAGCTTTTTGAGATTTCGTCGTTGCTAAAGCCTCCCTTATTGATTGTGCTTTCGCTTTGTTACTAAGATCTTCAGAACTAACAAATTAAAATTTTCATTTAATTCATATCAATATTTTTTTAAAATAAAATGTTAACTTAAATTTAACATTTTTTATTGACTTTTAAAAAACAAAAAATTTTGAAATAATTTTTATTTTTACCTTGACTCATTTGGACTTTCTACTTCCTCTTCCACTGATTTAGAATTTATTAAAGTATTTTGAAGTTCAGATACAATTTTTCCAATATTTATTTTTAATAATAAATGTTTACCAACATTTTGATTTGTAAAAGAAGAATCCTAAATAAAATTCATTTTCAATAGAATTTTTAAAATGTAAAAAAATGAGTTGAAAAAAAAAAAAAAAAAAAACTTACACATAATAAATTAGGTAAAATCACAACTCTTTTACTGTTTTCTGAACATCCAGCTAAACCTTTGGCCAAGGAACTACTATCTGATAAGTGAATTTTTTCTTTAATATTATCTTTTATAGCAATTACAGATTGTTCATCTAAAGAAAAAGTACTATAAGTAACATCTACAAAACTATTCGTAAAGGACTGAGAACCAGATGGAGGTGTTAAATCTTGTATGACAATGTTTCCAGACGAGTTGGGATTACAGAAAAATTTACAAACAGATATCTAAAAAAAAAAAAAAAATTTCAATTAAATAATTCAAATCACAAAATTAATTTTTAAAAAAATTGTAGCAGTCAATGTTATTTGTTTTTCCTTATGCTTGAAACTTTAGAGAAATTTTTGTTAATAGTACCTTTTCTAAAAATTCCTCTAAATCGTTAGATGATTGAAACATGATTGACCAATTTTGATTGTTACTGTCATAAAACGAAACATAATTATTGGCAGATACAGTTAAAGTGAAAAATTTGGTGATTCCTATTGTAACTAATGTTTCCTTAGAAGGTTTATAAAGTATTATATCATAATTATGTGACATGTGATTTCTGGTTATAACAATTCCAGTTAATCCTTGATGGATGTAAACTTTATTCTCACTGATGAAAAAAAATTTATAATTATACTCTCACAATTAAAAAAGTTGAATTTACTTAAACTGAAATTATGAATCATAACTAAGAAAGCAAAAAATTGATAATCATTGATAAATGACACTTTGTATCTTACTATTTGTATGCTTGCACAGGCTTATAAAAAATTACAGTTGATTTATTCGTATTTTCTTCCTTTTGTTGTTGATTTTTCGATGAAGTATTTTCTTTTTTAGGGGGTTTCGGAGCTGTGTAAGTTAAATTTGAATTTCCAGGTAAAGGTTTTTTTATAAACCCGAATAATGAAGCTAAATTTGAACTGAAAAAAAAAAATTATTTGTTATAATAAATTTTAACCGTTGTGTTTATAAATTACCTTTTTAAATAAGCCATTAATAAGTCGTTAAATTACCTTGTATTCGAAGAAGGAGTAAAATCAAAATCATCATCATCCATAATTTTGAAAAAAAAAATTTACATTCACTTACAATAATTATTGCAAAACTTTTTAGGCGTTTATTGCTTAATTTATTCTCTGCTAATGCCACGGCAAAAATGACAAATTCCGCCCTTTTTGAAACGCTTATATTAATATAGTTAAAATATTTTTGTAAATAAAAAATTTTCAAGGACACAACTATATAAACAATAAAATGAAAAAAAAAAAAAAAAAATTTAAATTTCCTTAAATTTATTTTTAAATCGTTAACATTAATTTGAATTAGGATATTTGATAATATTTATAATGAGCTTTTTTCAATCTATTATAAACTTCATTATCTGTTGAGATAAAAATTGTCATTTGGAAGAACAAAATATTGTTTTTCTTATTATAAAACACAATAATTGAAATCAAAAATTTACTGATGACACACAATTTTTGTACGATTTAAAAACAATACCGATATCACAAACAAAACAAAAACTTAATTTTTAATAATAAAAAAAAATAACTAATTTTCTTCTTAATTACTTCAACTACGTAAGCGACGAACCATTGATTTTGTAGGGGGCATAATTCTAATTTTTTTCAAAAATATTTTTGTAAATTATTAACAATTAAATGAAATTTTACGTGTTACTTCAGGAACCGAAAGTGTCCCCTGTGGTTTATCTGTAACTAAAAATGTTTTCATTAAATTTTTTTTTGTTTTTTTGTGCCAAACAATAAAAGTAATACTAAAACTTATGTAAAAAATGAATATAGTTTAAAATTACATTAACCTACAGATAAAATCAACAAATTACACATGATTTTTTTTTCTTTTTTTTTGTTAAAAATACAATAATTTTACTACAAACAAAAAAACAATAAATTATAACAAAATTAACTATGATTTAAATTAAATTAAATTCTTAACGGCCATTTTGCACATTTATTTTTATAATTTAAAAAAAAAATCCTTTTTCATTATATATAAATTTAAAATTCTATTTATTATCTTTACAATGTATAGCCGAATAATTGTTTAAAAATTTTGTATATGATTACACTTAAACTATTTTTTTTTTTTTTTTTACTTTTTATAAATTTTTTAAAAATACAATTTGTGCCATAGATTTACAAATAAATTATATATATATAAATATAACAATACATTCAGACTTAATATTTTTATACTTTAATAATTCATCAAATAAAAAATAAATGCTCGTTTCAATAATGGCAAAAATTTATTTAAAAAAAAAAAACAAAAACAAAAAAACTTCCTGGATGTAAGTAAAAAAAATAAAAAAAAAATAAAAATTTGCATAGCAATAAAAACACAAATAATAAAAAGATCCATGCAAAAATTTTAACTTGCATTATTTATTAACGTGCACATTAAAATCAACTAAAAATAATAATAATAATAATAAGCTAAATAATAAAAATCTAATGTCGGATTTTATCGTCTGGTAAATTAAATTAATAAACCTGAGCTTCATATCAAAAGTCCAGAGCTCGCTTATAAAAATTGTAATTGTAAAAAAAAAAAAAAAAAAAAAAAAATTTATGTGAAAGTTACAAAAATTAATAAATTATTAATATCGGAATATATATTTTTAATAAGATATGTATGTTAATTTTTTCTTTAATGGTCCTCAAGCAATGATAAGCTCGATATTTTTTTTTTCCAGTCTTGAATACTTGAAAAACAAGCACAAATCCTGTATCAACCTTGTAAATTTTTTGTTTTCCAAAAAAAAAAAAATTATTTTTAAGGTATTCTGAAAGAATAGTTATCGATTTAATCTTTAAATATAAAAAAATAAACAATTTTCAATTTCCTTTAAAAATCTTCCAATTTATGTAAATAATCAGAGGCGTTAGTAAATTCTAATTTTTTTTTGTTATTTAAAATCTATTTAAAAAGGTAACTATTAAAATCATTTTTGTTTTTAATAGACTATTAACTAAAAAAAAAAAAAAAAGGTGCAAGAAAATTCAACTGTAATTTTACTATACTTTAAAGGCCACTTAACCGAATAAATTAATATTTTTGATCAAGTTATAGTTTAATATAGCGCAAAAAAAAAAAAAATATTGACGACAATTTTGTTATTAAAAAAAAAAAAATACTGCTTGTGAAAAAAACTTTTCGTACATCCAGGAAATTTTTTAAATAGTAAATGTTTTCACATTGTATATGAAAAAAAAAAAAAAAAAATTTTTTTTTTTGGTCTTGAAATTTTTTTTTTTTTTAAAGGTACGATTCAGAAAATTCAAAATCGGAAGCGCTAGCCCTGGAACTTCGTGTTTGACAGGAAAGCCCAGCTCCAAAAGCGGAATCAGAAGTTCCTTCCCCAGTGATAAAATCCGGAACGATTAAAGTGTCTTTCGATAGCAAACCTGTTAAAGGATCCTCTGAATTAGGATCTCCGTAAACGTAATCCCCTTGAGATTCCTTTTCAACAAGTCGTTGTTTTAATAATTTAATTTTTTCTTGCTTCTGTGATAAGAAAAAAATTTTTTTTATTTTTATTAGTTGTCTTAATGTAAAGTACAAACAATAGGTTAAAAACTTTTAACTTACCGCTCGAATTAATTTAATTAATTCATCATTTTCTGCCAATAATTTTTCATATTTTTCTTCGTCTTCTTTGGCAAGTTTAATATCTGGATTGTATTTAGATTCGGCTTTATCTCGTGGGTGTCGAATGATTTCAATCACCTTAAAAAAATTTTAAAATCATTTAAAGGCAAATTAAATACTTAAAAAAATAAAATAAAATAAATTATTACCTTTGGAGTAAATATTAAAGCCATCGAAAGAAAACAACAGAAAATAATTGATAAAGAAACAAATGCAAAACTGGCATCTTGTTGCGAGGCTATGACCATGCATACAGGAGCAGTGATAAGACAAAAAACAACAACGTTATAAATTGACATTCCCACGTATCTTGAATCATTTATTTGTTTTACTTTAATACTCCTTGTTTCGTAAGCCAAGAAAAGACCGAAAAGCAAAACTAAACCTTTATATCCGTAAATAATACCTAAAAGAAATTTTTTTTTTTTTTTAATAAAGTAATTTAGACTTGAATTTAACTCAAATTTTCAAGTGTAACAATTTTTTTTAGTGAAAAAAAATATATATTTTACCCATCCAAACGTTATTATGTTCGCTTTCGCAATGTTCTAATTCAGGTCTTATTTTAATATCATCAAATGTATTTAAAGGCTCTTCTAAAGAAAATATTTCGATTCGTCGTTGTAATGGATCATATATTTGCCAAACAAGCAAAATGATAAAATCTACAACCAACAATCCACAAACCATTGAATACAATTTCCAAGGTTCAACTTTCTTCTAGAAAATAATATTATTTTAACATGTAATTCAAATATTGAAAATATGCACAAAAGGATAAAAAAATGTCTAATACCTTAGGATCTGCTTTTGCTTTCGTTGTAAATCTATGGACTCTCCAAACTTTACTAAACATTGCGCCATAACCTAGAGTGAACCCGATGGAAAGAAGCCAAACTCTTGTCTGGCAAATTTGAGGATAAACATTTGCTGGTATAAATTGACCATCTAATCCCAAAAGAAAAACACTCCAGAGTGAAATAATACACCCTGATAATATAATAGTGTTGCAAATAGGATGTGAGTGTTGGATAACCCTTAAATTGATAAAAATATAAAATTCCTCTTATGTATTTGATTTTAAGAAACTTTTAAGAAAAAAAAACAAGAAATTGTTTTTTTTTTTTTTTTAATTTACCTTCTATGCCTGTACCAAGTATTAAAAAAAATTAAAGCAATAGCAACAAGAATTCCAATACTTGATATGGTCCACATGCAAATAAAAAGAGGAAATGACAAAGTTCTGAGAACTCGTCTGACAACAGTTCGATCTTGCGGAATTTTATTTCCTGAAAATACCGAAAGGCTTTATTAATGTTTCCTCAAAATGACGATAATTTTCACAAGGTTTGAAATAAATGCATACCGTTCCATTTTTCTCTATTAAACCATGTAAGGTTGTCTGCTTCTGTATTGTAGTAGCCAAGTTTCACATAACTTCCATTTATCATTTGTTCTATTTGAGTAAGAGCGATTCTATCACCTTGAGAACTAAAAGCTACTACTCCCTATAAGGTAAAATTATTTCTTGAATTAAAATTAAAATTCATTTAAAAAATAGTAGGATTCTAAATTAAAAAATAACTTACCGATACTCCTACAAATTGCGTACTATTAATTGCTGAGTATATTTCATCAGCTATGTCTTTGTTAGTATATGTAAAATCTTTTAAACTCTTTCCTTTTTTTTTCAACGCGGCCATTGTTTTATTAAAAGCTAAAAATAAAAACTTAACTTAGCCTATAAATCATAATAATTATTATACAAATTAAATTTGATGGTTTTTACCTAAAGCCACAGACCAAACAGCATCGTAAGCCAAAGGAGCTTCCTGATAGCCTTCTGGATACCTTTTATTATCTATATCGTAACCACTTTGTCGAAGAACTTCATTTAATTCTTTCCTGAAATCTTCTGACGTCTAAACAACATGAAAAATGAAAGAAAAAAAATTTAATTCAAATTTGTTTTTTTTTTTTTTATTATCCAAATAAATGAAAATATTAACCTTTCCGGATATTGTTGTTTGATTGTTTTGATTCCACATAAGGGCTTCTGTTGTTAAATGACCTTCGGCAGCAAGTTTCATTTCTTCTGCCGTACATTCGATTCCCTCTTTTTGCAAATTGACTTCAAACCAATTGTCTTCGTACCAGCCTAACGCAATAAGACAAGCAGATTAATTTTTTTTTCTTCAATAAATTTAAAAATAAGAGATTAAAATAAAAATCTAACCGATGAAAAACCACACGTATGATTTGCCGTAAAGTTGTTGTTTGTACATTTCGCACAAAACGCGACGAGCAGCAACAACGTAAAACAACCCAATAATAATTCTTGCATCTTGTCTCCGTAAATTTCTAACAGCATCCGTAGGATCAGTGAGAAAACTTTGTCTGGTAACTATTTCGATATTTGTTTCTTTACATCTCGATTCCAGATCTTCAACAGTCTAAGAAATTGAATAATTTTGTAAATTTTTAAAGAAAAACATCCATTTTGGAAAAATATTTTAAAAAATGTTTAATTTAAAAACCCTTACAGATGTGAATACTTCTTCAGCTTGTTGTAATATGGCTACTCTGGACCATCCAAATTTTTCCATTAGTTTTATACGCGTAGGATTGTGCACCGTGGCAGAAGGATGCGTTCTAAACATTGTCGGAAAACGATTTCGATCCGACAGAGCGGGGGAACTGGCACCGTAGCACATTACTACCAGATTCCACATTTTAGCTGCTTCTGCTACTGTTGTACAAACAGTACTACAACCAGCCAACAACATAAGCTTTTGAGGTTGATTGTATAAAAGATCATACATTACTGATGCTCCTAACCCGGGTTCACACTAAAAATTGAAAGAGAAAAAAAATATTAATAAAATTTTCTTTTAATTAACAAAATATTAGTAGTAAATACCATATATATATATATATCAATTTCAGTGCTCAAAATATACTACCATACAGACTAACAGATGAAATTTTAACATTTTGAAAAACCTTTTGATTACCTCACTGTCATTCCAATGAAGTTGGAGTGTAAACCCAGGAAGTAGATCTTTTCTTTTGTTCACATCATTTAAAGCTAAACTTGCAGCAGGTTTGCAGGCTTGTCCTCCCTGCCAACCTCCTTTCCCTTCAATGGGAAATATTCCACCAATGTGTAAAACATTAGGCGTTTTATCTACATAGGCAGCATGAGTAAGTAATGGATACAATATGAAACTTATCCATAATTGTATTTCCTAGGAAAAAACAAATTCAGCTTTATACTTTTAATAAAGCATAAAAAAAAAAAAATTAAAAAATACAAAAATTAAAAATAGATTAACAAAAATTCTAAACAAATTACTGTAAAATCAATTGTAAGATTATAAATAACTTCAGTGGATTTTTCATTTAATTCGGTTTTCTTAATAACAAATTTCTTTAAAATAATTATGTCATATTATATAAAATTTTTATACATTCCATTAAAAATTAAATTTCAAAAAGCATAAAATTGTAAAACTTACTTTTTTCATATCAATCCTTCTGAAATTTTATTGATTTTTCTTGTGGCCCCTTTTATTCGGATTATTTACTTGTTTCCCAAAATATCAGATTTTATGAGAAATTGAGATAAGAATTTTAATAAGTTTACTTAAAAAATGTATTTAATAACCAACTTCATATTTAAATATTAATTAAAATATTAATAAATCAATTGTAATAATTTTTAAACTCTCCCTCTAACTACTTTAACAAAGAGCCAACTGTAATTTTTTAATAAAATTATATTGGTAGCATTGGGTTGCTGTGGTAATGCCATAAACAAAATAAAAAAATATTAATAATTTTTTATTTTTATTATTTTTAATTAATAAAATGGATAAACCGCAAATAATTTGCCATGCGGAAAAATCTACTAATTTTTCTATTTATGATGCGCTCTGGATTCCGTGTTCGGCAAAATTTGTAGTTTTAGGTTCACAACCTCGTGGAACTGGAGCTATACATGTTTATGAAATAACAAAAGGAGAAGTAAATTTAATAAAAGAAGTTGAAAAATCAAAAGCATTTAAATGTGGTACTTTTGGGGCGTCATCCCTAAGGGAAAGACATTTAGCTACCGGTGATTTTGAAGGTAGAATGCAAGTTTGGGATTTACAGGATATGTCTATTCCAGTTTATTCAGTACAGGCACATAAAGATATTATCAATTCAATGGATGGAATCGGTGGAATGTCAATAGGATTCGGTGCTCCAGAGATTGTTACGGGGGGTAGAGATGGATGTGTAAAAGTATGGGACACTAGGCAAAAGAATAAACCAGTAGCTGTAATAGAAGCAGCAGAAGGAGAAAATAAAAGAGATTGTTGGTGTGTGTGTTTTGGTAACTCATATAATTCAGAAGAAAGAGTTGTGTGTGCCGGGTATGATAATGGTGATTTAAAAATGTTTAATTTAAAAAATATGAAATTGCACTGGGAAACAAATTTGAAAAATGGTGTTTGTGGAATTGAATTCGACAGAAAAGATATTCCAATGAACAAATTAGTCGCGACAACATTAGAATCTAAATTTCATTTATTCGAATTAAAAACATTACATTCTAAAAAAGGTTTTACTTCTTTATCTGAAAAAGCTCACAAATCAACAGTTTGGACAGTTAAACACTTGCCACAAAATAGAGAAATTTTTATAACAACAGGTGGAGCTGGATCTCTTTGCCTTTGGAAATACAATTACCCAGAAAAAAGGGTTAGGCCGGATGGGGATGGTTTACCTGTGGGTGTAGTAGGAAATCTTACCCTCCTTCAAAATATGACAGTTTCAACTCAACCTATATCATCATTTAATTGGAGTCCAGATAAATTGGGTTTAGCAATTTGTACATCATTCGATCAAACAGTCAGAGTTATAATAACGACAAAGTTGAATTTATATTGAAAATAAATAGGATTAAATAAATCGAAAAATATATGATACATTATTAAAATAATACAAATAATAAATTTATTTATTAATTGTCTCAAGTTATTTTCCTATTATTATTATTTTCATTTAAAAGCACCATTTGCTCATTGTTATTATTATTATATTTGTACTTGAGAGTTAAAAGTAAAAAATGAATTAGAATGGTTCAAACATTAATAAAAAAAAATAATTTTTTGAATAAAGCCTTAAAAGCAAATTAAGTTAAATTATTCATATGATAAATAATTAAATGGAAAAATTTGAACCATACTAAAATATTTGTAAAAAAAAAAAAAAAAAGAAAAACTATCTAATACTTAATACCTGTAAAACCAGGATACTTATTTAACCACATTAATTACTTAGGTTAAGTTGGCACTTTATATAATTCTGCACTGCTTGTCATGCCATGCAAAAATAAAAAAAAAAAAAACAAAAAATATATATATGTACACAAAAAAAAATTAAAAAATAAAATACGTGTTTAGTTAGTTAGTTCAACAATGGAACTAATATTTTTTTTTTTTTTTTTATAATTTAAACTTAAAGACATCCTCGTTTTAAAAATGACGTCATTTTTGAAATTAAAACGAGTACGAGTAATGAAAAACATCAAAATTTACTTTTTTTTTTTTTTTTTTTTTACCGCCAAATCTGTCAATTTCACATTATGAAGCCATTTTTTTTTTTTTTTACCCTGAAAAACATTGTCAGCCATTTTTTTTTTCAATAATTATAAATAATTTAATATTTACTAATGTAATTTTCCAGCAGCATTCGATCGATCAGGAATTCTAGGTGGAAGGTTTGGAACTGGACGCCTAAAAAAAAAAAATAATAATAATAATAACAAAAAAAAGAAAATTAAAAAAAATCATGCCATTTAAAAAAAAAAAAAAACTACTTTCGTGTCGTTTTAATAAATTTTTTTTTTTACTCTACATCTAATCTAAATTTTCAAAATTTAATATTTGACGCCATTTATTAAAAAAAAAAAAAAATTAATAAGCAATTAAGCAAAAAAGCAAAAAAAAAAAAAAAAAAATCCACCCATCACCGAATAATTAATCGTTTCTATTATTTAACCGTGCAAAACTTATTATTATATATTTTTCCATTTTTCCATTTTTATCTGGACAATAATAATAATAATAATAATAATAATAATAATAAAGGATTTACAGGAAAAGCAAATCAAACGCCATATTAAACACGACTAATAATTAAATTACATTTTTTTTATTTTAATAATACCACAATTTTCCAAATAATGCTTTGATATTTTTTTTTAACAACTTATAATTATTTATTTTTAACTTTTAACTTTTTTTTTTAAAATATATATTTTTCTCATAAAATAATAATAATAATAATAATAATAATAATACTTTTCAATACTACCAGGTTCCAATCGTATGTAAAATAAATTCATTTTAATAAATCGATAAACAAAAAATAATAATAATGATGAAAACAAAGATCAGAAACCGGCATTTAATTTATTAAGTAAAGATTGATGTTACAGGTACTCCCCCTCCTCCCCCCCGTTTTTTAATTATTTATTGCATTTCACCCACTAAAATCCTAAAAAATTTGATTTTTAATATTTTTTTAATTAATTTCCTTAATTAATTAATAAACAAAATCAAATTAAATTTCGTCAATTCGACATTAATTAAAAATTAAAATAAAAAAAAATAAAAATGTCGGAATTTAATATCATAATTATTTGAAAACTATCAAATTTAAAAAAAAAAAAAAACTTATATCAAATTTAACGAGGGGTGGGTGGGTGGAGGGGGTACCACAAACTA